GAGGCAGCATGGACAGGCTCTGGTGAGGGTTATCTTCTGGTCACAAACTGCTGACCTCTTTTTTGGTTGCTTAAAATTCTTCCTCTTCTTCTGCTAGGTGTGGAGTCTCCTGTAGTCCAGGTTGGCCTCAAACTTACTATATAGCTAAGGATATCCCTGAACTTCTGATTCTCTTGCCTCCACCTGACATCTCCTGATTTCTACACAAGAGAGTGGAAAAGCTTACTAGCTCTCTTTATAAGGCATCAGTACCATCACACAGGCTCTGTGCTCATGACCTAACCGCTCTCCCCCCAACCGTGGCCTCTCATAGGCTGGAAGCATGGTTCAGGGACAGAGGGCTTGTCTAGCAAGTTCAAGGCCTCAGGTTTGGTTCCCAGCACTGCAAACAAGCCTTACCTCCTAATATAACGTAATCATGGTACGATTTTAAGATGTCAACTGGGGGGCTTCTGAAATCCATCCTATGGAATCCTGCAGCTTTGACCTGCACTCCACTAACTTTCCCCTGGTTTATCAGGCACTCATGAGCTCCCAGCATCTCCTGCATCTGCCTTATTCACCATGCTTATTGTTTGTGATCTGCAGCAAGAATGCAAGCTGCATTGAAGTGTAGCCATGAAGCCCTTTTATTCACCGATTATCACAAGTACTTAGAAATGTACCTCGCCATTCATAAGTATGTTGTCTTTGTGTGTATGTGTGTACATGTATATGTTGTGTATGTGTGTGGGTACATGTTAAATGAAAGAATGATTGAGGAACAAATCAGTGAAAATATATATACATCCAAGCTCTTGGTTCTCAAAAATCACAGCCATCTCCATGGGAAGAGCAACTGGCCAGGAGGAGAACGAGCAAGCAGTAACCCAGTTCCACAGTCTGCCGCAACCTCCAGACAAACCGTAACATGCAAAGGTTTGCTGCTTTCCTCAAACGCCTACTTAAGATCACCTAAAGATGTTTAGGAAAAACATGGGGACACACACACACACACCCCACACATATATAATTATCATAGACAATATACACACATAATACCTAATATATGCACATAAACACACAGATAAATTATTACATGTGCATATGCTGCATGGTATAATGTATTGTGTATAATACATAGCTATATTAATTAGCATACAGATATTAGGTTTCATTGTGACATTTTCCAACACAATTTGTTTAGCTGCTCTTCTTCCCTCTCCTTTCCCCCATATCCACCCACCCCTCCTTGCCTCCTCTCACCCAGCATAGACTGATGAGTCTCTTTCAGTTTTCACATCAGTTACATGTGTTCTACTATCCTCTCTCCCACCTCCACCATACCCTGCTTCCTCAACACCTCTTTTAGCTTCATTGGAGCCCAGCAAGAGAATGACAGTGAAATTTCCTTCCAGCTGCAAAAGAAAATTAATATAAAAGAATGATGAAATATGTTTCTAAAATTTGAATTTTATGTCTAAGAATTATATATCAATTTGAAAAGGGATTGTTTCAACAATCAGTCCAATGCCTGGCATGCAATATGTTTTCAATAAATGGCAGCTGTTTTTAAGAGATAAAAATAAAGTCTAGGGTTTAGGAAAAGAGTGAAAATGAGTTAAGTCTGCTGGATTACCCCTCTCCTTTCCTAAGTGGACAATCTGTAAAAAATTGCCCAAATCCAAGAAAATCGACAGCTTGACCCATTTTTATGGAGCTACATTTTTATGCTTAATTGGCACTACAGTCCTGACCACAGCCTGCATAAAGTTGCCAGCTCCGCTCCTGTATTGTATGTAACACTTTCAGCGAAGGAGCATGGGTGTGCAGATGTCTCCTGGACACAATGACGTCGTTTCTTGCAGCTACATACAAAACTGAACTGTTGGATGATAGCGCCACGGGCTTTCCACAATGGCTGCACTGACTGACAGCCCTGCCAGCAGCCTGCAGGCGTTCCCCATGCTCCACGTCCTCACCAATACTATCAAAGTTTGCCAGTTAGACCTCGGTAGACCTGGCAGAGGGAGTCACAACAGAGTTCTTGCCCATCTTGCACAAGGCAGTGGATTCCCTCACAAGCACAGGGCCTGTGAGAGGATTAGTCATTCATTCTGGGGTAACAAAGACTTTAAGGGTGCACAGGGGTACTCCCAGAGTCTGGCAATTAACTGGGAAAAACAAGTGTCATTCTCTGGGAGTCATCTGTTGTACATATGGGTACAGTACACCGTGTAGAACAGAACAAGAAAGTCTAAATATTATGGGATACAGAAGGACTAAATGCAGGTGAAGGCCAAGAGTTATAAAAGAGGATAATTGTTTTTCTAGTTCTAACTGTATCATAGACATTTTGATTTGGTGGTGATATGTGCATAAAAATATATTCAACAGAGAAAGTATAAAATCCAATGTGAAGCTCCATAACTCCATCTCCAATGGCTACTCTAATTGTATAGAAATTCAACAAGTTGTTGAGTTTTGGGGGTCTGGTTAATTTGGGTGTGTAATATTATTTTTAATTTTCTACTTTTTTAAATAATAAATTTAAAATGAAAAATAGCTGGATGTGGTAGTTAATGCCTTTAATCCCAGCAATTGGGAATCAGAGGCAGGTAGATCTCTGTGAGTTCAAGTCCAGCCTGGTCTAAACTGTGAGGCCCAGGGCAGCCAGAGCTATACAGAGAGACTCTGTCTCTAAAATTAAATTAAATAAAATTAAAAATTAAAAGATTGAAATGACCCACAAAAGTAAATATTCTCCTCATTATTATTGTGTGTTTAGTCCAGAGATTTCAACCTTGTCAACATATGTAAAAACATATAGTTTTTCTTTCTTATAAAAATGAAAAGATAATATATTTAATTATAACATTTAAGAAAGAATTTATAATCTTACCACAATAGTTAATGTACATCCATTCATAATAATAAATCTATATTTAGTTTAATTAACTGTATAGTTAAGTAAATTTCTTATTGGCTAATATATTTATGTAGTTATGTAAATATTTCCTTTTCCTTTTAATAAATTTCTGCTTAAAGAAATACTGGTTCAAAACAAAAGTATTTTCTTTGGAATATATATGCATGTGTGTGTATATACAAACATATATATATATATATATATATATATATATATATATATATTTCTCTTTGTGTGTGTGAGTGAGACAGACAGACAGACACACACACAGACAGAGACAGAGAGACAGAGACAGAGAGACAGAGAGAGAAAGAGAACTGTGTGTGTATTCTAACTGTCCTTGGGTTAAATGGTAGCAACATGCATTTCCATATTTAGGTATGAATGGTAGTTTATCAAAAACTATCTGCTAATCTTGTAGGTGGGAAATTGCACTGAATTCTTGCTGAGGTCTCTGAGTTTACAATATCTACAGGAGTAACATTAAAAATAAATCTTTATTGGTAACTGATTCTTAATGTTTTAGCTGCTGCCTTGGCCTTCATTCACCTTTCTAGTACTTTCCTACTTTAACCCAAGTGATTATGCAAATCCCTCCTATCTGAAGGCTGCTACACTCTGTTCACCATACACAAAATGAATATCTTTCCTAAATTAGTGACTTACAGCTCTATTTTATTTTTTGTAATAATTTTGAAAAGTCATATAGTCAAGTCCATCAAGGTTGGCTTTGCAGCTTACCTCCTTGTCATGTCCCATCAGTGTACATTCACATTTATTTTCTCCCATTACTGTATTTTCCAACCTTCACATTCACATTACTGTACAGGTAGAGACTACTGTTAAGTTAAACGGAACTTTCTTTGAAACCACGTGACATATTAAATCATTGCCATCATACTTCATTTGCCCTATAGTGTACCTTTACGTTAAATTTGGAGATGGACCCTCTGAGGGGAATTTCCCAGCAGATCTTTTCCCTTCCACATGCTGAATGTTCAGTATCAATGGAATGCAATCTGGTTGATGTTTGAGCTGACGTCATCACATCTCTTTTGGTCAGCATGTGCACACACTGGGCACTTTTTTTTGCCATCTCAGTTGGATTTCAAATGTCATATGCATCAGCAGAGGAACTTCTATCCCAGACTGAGCCTGGAGAAATGTCCATGGAATGCTCAGCGCTGGAGGCACACAGTTTATCACAATCTTTGGCATTTGCCAGATGCCTGCTCAGGGGACTTCATGTGGTGGACACTAACTAGAGCCCCAGAAGATGAGCAAGTTCCAGAGCCATCAATCCTACAGCATCACATGAGAGGAGCAGAGACTCAAAACATGAAGAGAAGCAGGTCAAGTGATCCACCTTCCACTGAATGGGCCACACTGAGGCTGATTAATAAGATTAGTGAAAGAGGTAAATTCCCTTGAATGTCATGGACTGAGATGGCACTGTACCCACTGAAGGACCCAGCGAATAACAAGTCCCAGTGTCAGAGATCACAAAGGTGAAAAAGGACAATCTGCCCTGAACACAGCAGAGAGCAGAGAGGGGGTAGTGCCTGTCAATTGCCATCGGGGGGACAGACAACCAGCACCAGCATGAAAGAAATTGGGCATGAAGTGATTTTTACCTGTTAACCCCAGCCCTGGGGTAGTGAGTTGAGAGATCTCACAAGCTCCCTGGCCAGCCAATATAGCTAAACCAGTGAGCTCCAGCTACAGGGAGATACTCTGTCAAAAAAAAAAAAAAGAAAAAAAGAAAAAGAAAAAGAAAAAGAAAAATCCAAGGTGGACACTAACAGAGGAAGGCACTTGATGCTGACCTCTGACCTCAATGTGCCTGTACATACACGTGTGCATCCACAAACACACGCACATGCCCACTAATAAATGAGTAAATTTATTTGTAAAGAGATAGTAGAAAGATTTAGAGATAATGAAGAATAGATATATGCATTCAAGAAGAAGGGAGAAAACCTTGAAAATAGAACGTTATGAAAATCACAGGCTAAGTATTTCAAATGTGAAGTCACTCCATCAAGTCTTGCCAGGGGGAAAGAGAAACGCATATCTGCATAGTGCTACATACCCACAGTTGGTCATCCATGCCTGGAGGGTTCTTTTTGATGAAAGCACCGTAGTATGTTGCAATGTTCCTGTGATGAGAATATTTCTTCAACATGTTAATTTCTTGTTTGATTTCTTCCTCTTCATCCTGTATTAGAACAATAAATAGTGGTCATGAAAATCCAGTTACTGGGAGAATTCTATTCTTCAATACTATTGGCAGCAAAGACTGATGTATTATTAGTCTTTCCTTTGGTTGTTTAAAGAGGATCATTATGCTGTTTGGTTAAAATGAAAAATGTTCACAGCATAGCACACCGGCAGCTCAAAGGGGCTAACACTATTGCTCACTGTGTCTACATAACGCCATATCGCTAACAGACAGAGCATGCCATCGGCTGGAGGACAGAAGCAAGTCCATTGCGTCACCTGGAGGCTGCCAGATAAACCTGCAGCCGGCTTCAGGGAAGCATTTTCCTCTGATGTTCACCTGATCACACCCAGGGAAGGCCAGGAAAAGAAAGGGAAAACACATGGGCTCAGATTTACATTTTGTTAGGCTCAGTTCTTTGAGGTGTCCTTTTATTGAAGTGCCTTGACTGAAGCCAATGAAAGTCAGATGGAGAGGGGGCAAGGCGAGTTCCGAGATCTGAGGGAGTTCACAAAGCAGGAGTCCTCATCACCTTCGGGGAGCTCAACATGAAAGAAGAGGGGGAACGCAGTGCGGACATAAAAAGACTCCAGAGTCAGTTTCCTGACGCACAAGACTCATTCAGTTTCCACTTAGAGTCTACTGACTTGGTCCTGGAGGGCACAAGTGTGCGCTCCATGATCTGACCTTATGTGTGTGTGCACTCCACGATCTGACCTTGTGTGTGTGTGCACTCCATGATCTGACCTTATGTGTGTGTGTACTCCACGATCTGACCTTATGTGTGTGTTTGCACTTCACAATCTGACCTTATGTGTGTGTGTGCATTCCATGATCTGACCTTATGTGTGTGTGTGCACTCCACGATCTGACCTTATGTGTGTGTGTGTGCTCCACGATCTGACCTTATGTATGTGTGCACTCCACAATCTGACCTTATGTGTGTGTGCACTCCACAATCTGACCTTATGTGTGTGTGTGCACTCCATAATCCGACCTTATGTGTGTGTGTGTGTGTGTGTGTGTGTACTCTACAATCTGACCTTATGTGTGTGTGCACTCCACAATCTGACCTTATGTGTGTCTGCACTCCAGTTGGACTCCAAAACAGTGTTTCCTTCCTGAATTCAGTGGGAAGTCCTGCACCAGGGAGACTGAGACAGAGGTGTAAGCAAGGACTACCGTTGAGTGCAAGATGTCATGTTATCATGATCAAGGAACCATGCCATGTGTCTCTGCACCTTTATCCTTCCGTCTGTGAGCCTACATGTGTGCTAATACAGGATCCTTCCAGAACCTCACACGGGGGCTGTCTTCCTCCCTTCTCATAACTTTTGCATGTTAATACTGATGAAGTTTCATTTCCACTCCCCAGGAGGGCTGTCTTCCTTGATTCTCCAAGGCAATGTCAGGGCCCCACTCCTGAGTCAGGACCCCACCACCCTGTGATTCTTCACACTGAATGAGGTGTGTGTGTGTGTGTGTGTGTGTGTGTGTGTGTGTGTGTGTGTGACACTGTGCTGTACTTATACTGACACTTGGGTGTCTATTCCATAGGCTTTACTCTCTTCCACTTTAGACATCAACTCCAATGTTGCTTCCCAGAAGTGCCTCCTGATCTGCCTGTACTTGGTACTAGCCACCTAGATCACATGACCCATTGTGGCACCTAATCAGCTTGTCAACTCCTACCCATCCGTCATCACCACAGACATCTTGCCAGTATTTGTTTGGTATTTCATCCCCTGTACCAAGGAAAATCTTGTTTATGTGTGAATACAAGAACAGATGCCTGCAGGTGGACCAACGCTAAGAGCCGCAGTAGGGTTGTCCCAATGAACAGATGATACTAGAAGGAGCAGAGTGATGAAATGATGTCATTGCCCAACCATACCAAAACCAAAACAAAAAGCAAGTTTACTGGGAGAAAAAAAACCTGAAAATTGTAGGCTTAGAACAAAAGCACGTTACTCATCATGTAGCTTAACTAGATACAAAACTAGATAATTTCGAAATAGATCACAGAGTTGGGGTGCTGAGCTAAGGCATGGCTCTAATGGTGAGAAGGGGGACTTAGGGGACTGAGCTGGGCTGGTTGCTGAGGCAGGAGGTGGATGGTACATTGCTGACCAGGCATTCCTTCCTGCAGCTACTACAAAGATTCCACCACTTCAGTACAGGCCTGCAGAGAGAATGACCTTTACGGAACCTCAAGTTCTTGGGGGTCCTGGCATGTGCCTCACTGTACTGTGGTAGACATCAGCTCTTTTAATTCTCTATGTAGGATGTGAGCCTCATTTTACTTGGGGAGCCTCATTATAAAGAGGAAGAACCATACTGAGGGTACTGGTGGCTACTTCCATTAAAAAAGGAATTATGTAGGTAATGAAAGATGTAGATTACTTTCCAACTGCACCTGACAGCCTCACTCTAGGCAGCCTTGGAAGCCAGGCAAGTTCTACAAGTATTTGCTGCCTGCCTCCTGGGTCCTCAACAAGATCATGGGTGATGGATATGCCTGAAGAGGGCTTATCATGCCATTAAGAAAAGTTAAGCCACACTGTCATTCAGTACACAATTAGGCCTCAAATAAGTAGAATGGGGGGCAAAACAAGGTCTATATAACTATGTAAAGGTAAATTGAGCCAATTATGGCCACAGAGAAAGCATAAATATGACTTTGGGGTTGGAACAGTTGGATGGGTCATTAACGTACATGCCAAGTTTGGAATCTGACATTTTTGAGTCATAAGATCTTAGAACAGCAACTTACTGTTTTGGAACCTGGGTTTCCCAACTACAATGAAATGCAGATATTACAAGCTGAGTTTTTGTGCTAACTACATAAGGTATATGAAGGTCACAAAGTGAGATAAAAAATAAACATGGTGGCCAGTCTTCTCAACAATGACAACAAAGTCAATAGATAACAAGATTCATCCAGCATCATATCAGTCACTTGAATTTTAAGATTATATTGCATTGTTTCCAAACATGGTTATGGGCCTCTGGGTCATGGTTAATTAGTCCCAATACATAACCTTGATCTCAACTTTCTAAGGCCTTGTAAGTGAGCATGCCATTTATCACAGCTTCCAGGCTACAACTGACAACCAGAAGTTACACAACTATGTCACAAGCACTTCAGCTTCACAGTGTGTCCCAGTGAGGGCAGGGAGGCACAACACTCCCCCTAAAATAAAGAGAGCACTTGAGGCAAAAATTAGATGCAGCAAGATTTGTGTTTAGTTGTTTGTTTTGTGTGTGTTAGTGTGCACACTTGTGTGCATGTGGAGGTCAGAGGACACCCTTAGGTGTCATTGCACAGACTCTACCCACCTTTTGGTTTTCATATGGGGTCTGTCACTGGCCTGGACTGGGGCAAACAGGCTAAGCTGGCTATTCGGCATACCCAAAGGATCAACCTACCTCTGCATTGAGATTACATGCCCATGCTACCACACTAACATAGGTTCTGGGGATGAATTCAGGTCCTCATGCTTGCAACATAAGCACTCGTCTGAACTACCTCCTCAGCCTTAGACTAGTGGTGGGACACTGTTAGTGGGACACTGTTACTCTATTTTGTAAATGAACTATTCTTACATCTTAAATCATAAGCACAGGGGACAAGAAACTAATGACTGCTGGACCACACTGAAAATAGAATAATGGCACCAAATTGTCTCAGCTTGTAAAGCAATAGGTTCCTTTGCAAAGATCTACCACTTGAACCAGAAGACTTCAAGATCCAGTCTGTTCCATGGTGTTCACTCCAGGCATGGCATTCCAGCTCTCCCAGGGTCAGTTACCTTCAGCTATGGATGTGAACAGGAAACCTACTTAAGCTGCTTCAGAAGGGATGGACTGATTACTTGAGTGTACCCTTCCTAGCAATGTAAAAACCACTTGGCCCCTTAGAATCAGAAGGATCTACTCAGTGGTTAGTAATTGTGGTAAACTGAAAAGAAATGAACATGGCATTTGGCTCCCCCCCCCTCCAATCAAGAGTTCATTCCTCTTCTTGAAGCTGAGCCTGGCAGAGAGCTGGTACAGCCAATGGGGTATTGAGAAATGGGCTTTGGCAGAACCCCGAGGCTAGCCATCTCCAGCAGCTTGCAGAGGATTATGGTTCTAAAATTTTAGCAGCCAAAACCAGCTTTATGTAATGTTCATTGTGTGCCAGGAGCTGTATGTGCACTATTTTAATATTCAGAGCACATCTGTGCCATATTAATACATTTTATTATTGGTGATGGTAGAAACAGGGGCAGTGGCATGCATGTGTGTGTTGATGCATGGGTATGAGCATGTTTGTGTCACCACGCACATGTGGAGGTTAGAGGACAACTTTGTGGAGCTGTCCTCTCCTCCTTCTCTTGTATGGATTCCAGGGACTAAAGTTTAAGCTTTTGCTCTCTGAGATACTGCACTGGCCCTAATGTAGTGTTCTTAATGACCCCAAGCGGCTGAAGAAAGGAGCTGTTTTTAAGGATTTGACTTTACAAATAAGACCTGGAGAGGCTAAGTAACTCCCCCAGCAGACTCACTGTAAATTTAGGGCTCTGATTCACTTCTAGATCTGTCAGGATTCCAAGGCCAGTGATCTGAATTTCCTACAGAAACCTTTCAGACATGTACAATTACCCATGGTGACTAAACCAAAGCACTCAATAGAAGGAGCCTAGAAACATACTTCACTTGGGTAGAGAGGACCTGACTCTGCTCCCCCAGTGAAAGGAGCGTGTTAATGTACAAAACTATTTACTTAGCCTCAAGGAACAAGGGGGGATTTTAATATTGCATATTTATATTACAGGGAAATGTTGCTTAAGTATCTCTATATGGGGAATTTAAAATGGAGTCAATAAAATGTCCCATATTCTTGTGCTCTAAAACAAATAATTTGCCCAATGTCTAACTCTCAACCCATGAAACAAGAATAAAACTGTGCCAAGTCTATAGAGAAGTAAAAATCACATGGATGGATAAATTCC